CAACCGGCGGAGGTGGCTGAACCTGCCGTCTCCAGTCATGTTCGATCTTGTACTGGCGGCGGTGGTGGTTGGGGATGCTGGCACCCGAGCACGACAGGCAGTGAATGGCCTTCAGTTCAAACACAGGCCACTTGGAGCCCAGTCTTCCCTCCAGTATAGTACTGAACTCCACCACGCTTCCTGCGTTCAAGTGCAGCAGCACGGACTTAAACTCATTGCTGGCTCGCAAAACTATGTCCTTGGTTGCGTCTTCATCTTCGATGATTGTGCCATTCCTGGTCTTCCTCTCCAGTGGCATGCCCATCGTGACTTCAAACTTGTACCGATCAAATCTCTTGATGTGGCACTCGTGCTTGGCCAGCTGTTTGAGTTTACAGAGAGGGTCTGCAGAAGGAGGAGCAGGAGCGGGCAGAGGCTGAGGCTCAGCGGAGGTCTTTTGAACCTCCTCACATGAAGGATATGGTTCTCCGTAAAGACATCGCATCCAGTTCCCCACAACCACAGGCAGCAGGTTGATGACCGACTGCGGTCCGTTCTCAATATCTGTCACACGGACGTATTTGAAGCGTCCCGTCCAGGTGACCCGATGTCCTTCCAGATGAGAACATAGGATCTGAGTTTGAGCCATGTTGGACTCTTTCCAGGCCAGTGGACCACACATGTTGCTGTACTCCGGCCATGTCAGGGTGGAGTTGTACACCTTCATGCCTTCTGATCTGTAGACATACATCCAGCAGAAAAGCACCACAGCGCTGAGCCACACTAGGATGAGCTTCACGATGCTGCTTCGTGACACAGACCGAAGAACAACGATGGGGTTTAGGCTGAAGCGAGTCCAGAGCCTCAACACAACTGGCACAAAGCAAATGGTTAGTGTGACGACCATCTTGGTTAGCTCAAGTGCCAGGAACCACTGCATTAACTGGATGATTAGCATTGCTGCCAGGCCTAGGGACAGCACGGGAAGAGCAAACACGAAGAGGAAGTAGCCCACAGTGGTACGGATGAGTCCTATCAGTGTGGCATTATTGAGGAACACCAAGCAGAGTTCACACCATGTAAAGCAGACCAGGTACGGCACCAGACACAGGTAGGTCCCCTTGAATCCTTTCAGCTGTGCCATACAGAAAAGGATATAGAAAAGGTGGCCATACAGCAGACACGGTATCCCCAGGTTTAACACCACAATTTCCCCGAGAGGCACTGAGAGAAGGGTCACCCCAAACATTCTGAGGAACCACAAAGAGTCGGGCAGAAGGCGAGTGAGGGAGCAGGCACCAGAGAGGACTTCAGTGAGGAGGGCTTTACGAGCAAAGAGTTGAGCAGAGGCATGAAGGCTGAGAAACGCGGTGACGGTGAAGAAGAAAGCGATGGCGGCCAACTCTGAGCAGGGGATCCAGGATTTATCAGCTACGGGGAAGGAGAAAACCACAAAGACCACAGAGAGCAGGAAGTACCTGAGGACACGGAGACATGAAGATGTTTTCAGTACAGTGACCACCAATGAAAGCACAGAAATGTATTTCATTTACGTTTATTCAAACATATTCATATCTTGTCAACTTTATGAGCTTGTGTGTACGTCTATCTAAACACTTACAGGTAGGGCTCTAAATGGGTCCATCCAAAATTGGTCTCAGCCTGTTCCAGATCAAGTCCAGGTTCAAAGTGAGCCAATAAATCTGTCAAAGCACGGAAGTTTTCCCATGCTTTTGAATTCTGCACAAAAAAGACAAGAATTCAGTTCTACCTTCTGCCTGGTTTTGTAATTCATACAGATACTTCATATTAGGTGGACTGAACCAACCTGAAACACCCGCAGTGTGCAGATGACCATAGAGAAGAAAGAGAGGTAAAACACCAGCAGCGGGATGAGGAAGATGAAAAACTCTATTGTGAGGTTTGAGATGATGAAGAAGAAGATTAGTGCATTGACATGATGAGTGGGAATCAAAGCACTGAGCCACTGCATGCCAGCCCTGGACGCCCAGTCGATGAGGTGTTCTTTTATCTCCAGCAGAGCGTACAGAGGGAACTTCAGCATCTGGAGGAGAACACAAATCTTTTTATAGATGTTTCCTGTGTCTTGGAATCACATCTTTTGTAAATGAAAGACAATACCAACTCTGGTCTAAAAACCTGTGACAAATGCCTCACCTTCTGGTGCAGCGGCAACTCATCTGGATTCTTCACAACCACACCATCAAACTCATCTTCATCACCTCCTGCTGCGGCCATGACGGATGATGGTGTAATACCCTGGGCATATTTCTTTGTCATTTCGATGAAGTCATCAAGGCCGACATGGGAAGCAGCTACACAGAAGACAAATGTTTACCAACAAGATGTTCCTGAATATTTGATTTAAAAGAAGATTAGATATGAGAAGATTAACCAGTACCCTCGTTGGTGACCATTGTCTCCAGGACTCTCCTTTGTTTCTTGGCAGAGCTGTTAAGCGGACCAGGAGATAATGGTTTTCCTGCAGATAAGAGAATATTTAGATTTATGATGTAAAGATTTAATCACAGGGCATTGGGTAAACCCATGCCTTGAATCAGTAGTTCCTAAACTCGTTGCAGTTCCCCTTTTGTAGCTAGGACAACACCCACTGCCCTTACCTCTTATATCAACACACTTGCATCAAAACAAAATCAGTAAATTAAAAATGTGTACAACAATAACTGTTTTTGTGATTTTTTTTTTTTTTTTTACCTGGTTCTGTGGGGACATGTTCAACATTCTCAAGCATCTCAGAAATAGCCACAGACTTTTTCTTCTCTGGGTTTAACTTCCAGTACATCAGCAGAGCCGCCTTCCTCACTCCTCTTTCAAAACGAGTTTCTGTACACAACTTTTTCACCTCCTCAGAGTTCTCCAAAGTGATGCCTAAAAAATAAGAAGGGTGTTGATAGCAGGTCATATCCAGGCTACTTGTAACTATTGTGCCTGAACTCAGGAACATTTGCAAACCTCTCCTGGAGGCTAAGCACTGCTGCAGCAGTTTGACGGCATCCCTTCGGCCTTGTTTTGCAGCCTGGATCAGCCAAGTGACCGCTGTACAATTATTCAGCTCTTCGTCTCCTTCTTCTGCTAGCGCCAGGAAGTAGCGTCCCATCTGGACAGGAGCAATTTCAGACATGCAAGCAAAACATTAGCTTAAATCTGTGACCCGTCCTTTCCACTGTCATTCTGAAAACAGCTTACAGACAATTTAGGTCTCTGCACCATATGTTCTCTGAAGTCATCACAATGTCCAGGGAGTTAACCACTGACCTTGGTCTGTGCTTTGGAGTCTCCTGACTTTGCCCTCTTCTCAAAATCTTCAAAACTCATCTCCTCCTCTGGCTCCTCTGAGGAAAACAGAAAAATAGTTTGAGTGACTATAACACTGTCTTTATAAATGTAAAATATTTAGTTTAAAACCAATGATTTAACAGACCTACATGTTCTAGACTTCCTCTTATTAATATTGACATATACACCAAAGACTATATTGGTCAGTGGAAACCTGACATTTAAAGGATGCAAGAAAAGACTGGGTGAGTCCAGTTTTTCCATCAATGTCAGCAAAATGTTGCACTTGTTTTTCTGTATTTGTCATGGAGAGCATGCCATGAATACAGCAAACTTAGTTTTAGCTGTATTAATTGTTGGAAAAGTGGGTGGGAGATCAAACAGCGGTTGATATTTTTTATTCTAAGTGTAAAAACAGAAAATTGTTCACCTGGTTCAGGTGTTGTTGGTGTCTGAGGAGCTGAGGCCCCAGAAGATCCTCTGAAGGGACTCCCTGTAGAGGCTGCATTTAGCTGAGATCTACCCACTTGAGAGGGGGTTCTGATTGGTTGGCGGAGGGGTGAGGCAGATGGAGTCGACAGGGAGGAGGAGCGGGAGGAAAGACCTGGAGAACTCCTGGCTGATGAGGATGAATATGCAGGGGTGCCTGGGGAGCTTGGCATATTTAGTTTAGGCCTGTCACGGTCTGGGTTTGGTGAGGAAGTTGCAGCGGAAGAGGTGGATGAGGAGGGTCCCACTCTGACAGAGGCAGAAGTCAGAGAGCTGTTTCCAGTTAGGGACGGTTCCATCGCTGAAAATTAGTTGGGTGACCCTAGAACACAGTAATAACATAATAAGCCAACAAAACCGTTTAGATTTCTGTAAAGTTTTCATCATTGTACACAAAAATAGAATATGAATTGTAACAATATATTATGATTCCTTCCTGTGACTGTTTTTCAAAACCTAACCAGAAAAGTGACCAGCTGACTCCATGTGTTTTCAGAATGTCTTTTTGCTTCATGTTATTTGCTTGACTTATGTAAGTTAAGGCTGGGCAGCTATATTTTAGGAGGTGACGTCCCTGAAGTGCCCTGGCTGAAGTGGTGAGTCCTGTTGCACTTTTTAGGGAATCCCCTTTAAACCTCCTTGGCGAAGGTCTAATGACAACCAATGAACTAGCAATGTCTGCCTGTAACAAACAACCCTACTAATAATAATTGTAGTCACAATTATTTCAATAATGACCAACGATTTAAGTCACTAGTCTTGTAACCGCAACTACAAAAGCAGGCTACATGACAGTGGTATTACTGCTAAAGCTAACCCTACTTTACCCACCTTTTCTACAAACAAACCGGGTCAATTTATATCCTGCTCGTTAAAAGCTTCTAGAACTGGCTCCGTTCTTCTGTTATTTGTTGTCCGGCATCTTTCTTCCCTTTCACAGACTGTTTTGTACTTGCGGTCAAACTCCAACACACAATGTACTGGAAAGTCTGTCAGCTGCTCCACTAAAGGGTAACGCCCATTTCCTATTTTGCTTGTTTTGATTGGATAGGACAAATGTTTCCGCTTTATTACACGTCTTGTGATTGGCTACTGATGCTGAACGCTCTATTTCATTCAGTCATGATCAATCAACCACCGAACGGTTTGTTTAGAACGCATTTGTTCTAAACACTAGTCATACGACGTGCATTTCATAACATATATTTATTTTGCTTTAGCATGATATGGATAAATTCAAAGATTACGTGATGCATTTCATTCAAGAAAGTTCTACACTGTTTATCAAATAGTTAGATTGGGTGCAGAATAATGTAATGCTAATTTTCTACCAGCAGAGGTCAATGAAGTCCAAACTTTATATTTTGCGGAAATGCACACACATTAGTAGACTAGCACGATCCAATTCAGTCATGCAGATTCCTTATATGTATTTTTAATTTCCTAATGCACGTCTTCATTGTAGATTGATGGGAACAAATCTTATTGACCACCCTAGGGAAAATTTGCCCTGGCCACAATGAAAATAATTCCTAATCTGCCTTTGAAAAAGACATGAAACCCAAATGCACTTATAAATGTAAATCTCATCTAAAAGCATTGTCTCAACACTTTTGTCACAATGAGCTTGAGTTGAAGTCTTTTGATTATGCAAAGCCTCTTTACAGGTGCATTATACAAATTTGCATGGTGTTGTGGTGCTCCTGTTTAGAGAGACACTAATGCCATTCACCATTCACTGTGTGGTCAGTACTGAGCTTTTTGACATTTACTGCATTTACATGAGATTTTGTCTCCATTATCTTTTTTTCCCCATTTTTATTACTATTATTATTATTATTTAAAAAAAAGCTGTACTGTAGAAGCAGAACTAAGGAAGAAAAGAAGCCATGACTAGTTGATAGTGTGACCAACTCCGTTTTATAGTTGTAACAGCAGAGGAACAGAAAATGTGTAGGCATATAAAACCATTAACTTACAGGACAGGACACTCTGTCCTAGATGATGTGCAGCCCCAGTAAATCAAACCACAACAGGTGTAAACACTACAAACGTTATGCAAGAAAAAAGTCTGCACACACATTTTAGGTAGAGTATAAGCTGCTCATCAATCCAACTGCACTGGATAGAAAAGGAGAGTTGTGGTGCACGAGTAATCACCATGGGCTTTTTTACTGTGTAGAGAAACTCAGGCTCATACAAATGTGTAAAAAAGTTATTGAATAGGTCTATAAATTTTAATAGGTTTGTTCTGTGTCTGTAGCTCTTTGTCTTTACCAATGTGCACTTTGTCTTTGAGAGATCAAAGACCACTATGGCTGGAGTTTATTAAAAATGGGCAAAACTGAAGTCTTTGTCATACATAATTTATTACCCTGACCTTAAACTTGTCTGATTTTTGCAGATCAAATCTGTTTTTTTAACATTGATAGACAATTTTGCAGTGTCGATGGAGTTTTTATCAAATATCATTGCAACCCCAGATGTTTGGCCGACACTCCAAAAGATGTTTTTCAGCTCCATCAGAAATCAATGGTAGAAACATTTAAATTTAGGGAATGAGTTTGTCTTTGAAACCTGGCCTGTTCAGAATAAAAAGCTGATGTTAGCTGTCTTTTAAACCTTCATTTAGTGGCACCTCTCCTCCCCCTTTAGTTCTCTTCTGTTATGTCACCTCTTCAGCTACTGTATTGATTTGCTGCTATTTTTGTGTCTACAAGGATAAGGATGAGACCTGGAAAACGGAAATTAACTCGTACAAGGACACGGTTGGCTTACTGAACACCGTTTGTACCAGCTAGGATTGGCTTAGTTCTAACTGATTTTGCTGCGGAATTTTAAAATACTAGTAAAGTAGAAATAGTTACTAATATTAGATAGATACTAATAGTTTGAAAGAAAGAAAAAAGCAACATTAAAACAACACTTCAAGTTCTCACCACTAGTGAATCTTTTTCAGTCTTGGTTCTGAATGAGGCAAGTTATTTGCATGGTTGAAAATTCAATGTGTAACCAATTACTGTATTAAGTTCCTCGGTCTGAATCGGAAAGAAAACCGTCCCTGTTCAAAATAAAAACCCAAAGCTAGTTCAAAGCCCAGCTCAGACTGTTACTCCTGCGGCTCTGGTCTTGTCATGAATGGACGTGGAACATTTGATTCAGATTTTTCAGTGAGTAACCGCGTTGAGTCATGTTTGGAAAAACTTAATTAGCTTCATATGAAAATATTACGTCATCACCATTAGCTCTGCAGGGTAAAAATGAGTTTACATTGTGGAGAACAGGTCATTTTGGCTTCAGAAATTTCCCACAGGGTTGTTATGGGGATCGAGGGTTGTTATGTGTGTATTAGTGTGTGTGTGTGGATAGTAGTGGGTGAGTAGAAGGGTCTGTGGGCATCTCTTAAAGCTGTACTAAGTCTAAATCCACCAGCTCTCATGAATATGTTAATCCTGTTATGGACAGCTCTCTTGGAGACACTGGGAACCTAAAATGATTATGTTAAGTTAATAAACTCAACATCTGCTCCTGTTTCCTCACTCCTCAAATGAGGGCAGTGAAAAATGTAAATGAGACAATTACAAATCAAGAGTGATCACCAGAGTTTTTTTTAGGGAATATATATGCTACTAAAGTGCTTGTAGAATACACCTGTTTATCTGCATTTAAGTAATACTTAAGGTAAATTATTACAAGAAAATCACCTCCATCTTTAATAGCCAGGCCTGATCCTTTATAAATACCACACATGGTTGTGGTAAGACTCAAGACTTCAGCTTCACTTTCCTTTCCAGAATTGTTCATGTTTCTGGTCTCGATGAAGTGAATGGAGCCACATTGTGGACATTTACATTCATGCATTTAGCAGACGCTTTTATCCCGAACGACTTACGAGAGGAGGAACATTTTTCAGATAGTTGTCTGTTCCTTCTTCTTCAGCCATAATGTTTTGCTGGACCCTTCACTCTATTGGCCATAGCTTCAGGGGCTTCCCTTGGGCTTGCTGTCCAATGTCAACGTTCTTTAGGAGCACAGTGGTGGAACTGTTGATGACATCTTTGGAACCTCTCTTGACAGGGTTCATCTAAACATTCCACCCTTGTCACAGTTTCAGCTACAAGGCCTGCAGATGCAGTTTGTTCCATTCAAACTCCTGTCCTTTAATCCCTGACTGAATGCTCGATCATGAGGACTTCGACCAGAGGGCCACATCACTAACTACCTTGTGCGAAAACCTGTTTCCTGAGTTCAACTTTTAGCAAAATGCTGTGAAGTAGGGGACACATCACCGTGCTGTCGGTCCTTATCTCTGTGCCTGCAGCATGTTTCTCACTTTCTATCACTCCTGCCGCCTGTTTGCTGGCCTCAACAGGAAACTGAAATACACTGCTGAACAATCCCTCCCACTTTCCTTGTCTGTTTTCATGCTGCCTCATTAAAAGTTGCCCTGTGTGAGTAAACAAAACCAGTGGGACTCCTGTTCTGGATAAGAAGGTGACTATAGTAGATGACTGACATTCTTCCTGACTGTTTGCTCCTCTGCTCCCACTCCTTATGGTTTACTGTGCCCTGCAGCAATGTACTGCCTATGCTGTGATGGTGCAGTGTGACTTGTGAATGGCAGGAGTAATGTTGAGAAGCACAGACAGGGAAGCTGTGCGTAAATAATGCTTGTTTCAGAATCTGGGTCACACTGTCACTGATTATTCAGACACATCTGTGACTTGACAGGTTCATCCCGTACCAGATACATTCACTGAATACAGGAACCTGCTGTAGATTGATGGAATTATTAGTTGTCTCATCATCATTAATGGTCTTTGTATGACCCCATACACATCATTGTACTACTAACGGCTCAAATTAATGTCAGCAAGTATTGATACATTTTATTTTAATTGTTTACTAACAGAAAACAATTAAGTTCATCTTTCTGTCTAGGCTAATCGTTAACCTTCACCTTTCCCCAGAAGATAGGACCATTTTCATTATATTCTTTTTTTTTGCCTCACCTTGTAGTTTAATCTTCCTCTTTTTTTTTGCTATTATGGGACTATTAAATGAAGCTTTTATCTATTTTTATCTCAAACATTAATTAAATTTTCAAAGATTTTCAAAGATTTAAAATTTTTAAATCAATTTCTTCTTCTTCTTATATCGTCTTACTCGTACCGAGCCACTCTGCGCTCTGACGCTGCACGTTTCTCCCGCACCGGCTGCGTGCTTGTCCACGCATTTTCCAGGCGCGGAGTCATTCTTGAACACGCAGTCAGGTGTCGCGCTTCTATCACGCTACTCCCTCCTCCTTCTTCTCCTTCTCTTCCTCCTCCTAACGTTCACGTCGGCACAGGCGTCGACGCTTTTTTTTTTGAATACACCTGTTTATCTGCATTTAAGTAATACTTAAGGTAAATTATTACAAGAAAATCACCTCCATCTTTAATAGCCAGGCCTGATCCTTTATAAATACCACACATGGTTGTGGTAAGACTCAAGACTTCAGCTTCACTTTCCTTTCCAGAATTGTTCATGTTTCTGGTCTCGATGAAGTGAATGGAGCCACATTGTGGACATTTACATTCATGCATTTAGCAGACGCTTTTATCCCGAACGACTTACGAGAGGAGGAACATTTTTCAGATAGTTGTCTGTTCCTTCTTCTTCAGCCATAATGTTTTGCTGGACCCTTCACTCTATTGGCCATAGCTTCAGGGGCTTCCCTTGGGCTTGCTGTCCAATGTCAACGTTCTTTAGGAGCACAGTGGTGGAACTGTTGATGACATCTTTGGAACCTCTCTTGACAGGGTTCATCTAAACATTCCACCCTTGTCACAGTTTCAGCTACAAGGCCTGCAGATGCAGTTTGTTCCATTCAAACTCCTGTCCTTTAATCCCTGACTGAATGCTCGATCATGAGGACTTCGACCAGAGGGCCACATCACTAACTACCTTGTGCGAAAACCTGTTTCCTGAGTTCAACTTTTAGCAAAATGCTGTGAAGTAGGGGACACATCACCGTGCTGTCGGTCCTTATCTCTGTGCCTGCAGCATGTTTCTCACTTTCTATCACTCCTGCCGCCTGTTTGCTGGCCTCAACAGGAAACTGAAATACACTGCTGAACAATCCCTCCCACTTTCCTTGTCTGTTTTCATGCTGCCTCATTAAAAGTTGCCCTGTGTGAGTAAACAAAACCAGTGGGACTCCTGTTCTGGATAAGAAGGTGACTATAGTAGATGACTGACATTCTTCCTGACTGTTTGCTCCTCTGCTCCCACTCCTTATGGTTTACTGTGCCCTGCAGCAATGTACTGCCTATGCTGTGATGGTGCAGTGTGACTTGTGAATGGCAGGAGTAATGTTGAGAAGCACAGACAGGGAAGCTGTGCGTAAATAATGCTTGTTTCAGAATCTGGGTCACACTGTCACTGATTATTCAGACACATCTGTGACTTGACAGGTTCATCCCGTACCAGATACATTCACTGAATACAGGAACCTGCTGTAGATTGATGGAATTATTAGTTGTCTCATCATCATTAATGGTCTTTGTATGACCCCATACACATCATTGTACTACTAACGGCTCAAATTAATGTCAGCAAGTATTGATACATTTTATTTTAATTGTTTACTAACAGAAAACAATTAAGTTCATCTTTCTGTCTAGGCTAATCGTTAACCTTCACCTTTCCCCAGAAGATAGGACCATTTTCATTATATTCTTTTTTTTTGCCTCACCTTGTAGTTTAATCTTCCTCTTTTTTTTTGCTATTATGGGACTATTAAATGAAGCTTTTATCTATTTTTATCTCAAACATTAATTAAATTTTCAAAGATTTTCAAAGATTTAAAATTTTTAAATCAATTTCTTCTTCTTCTTATATCGTCTTACTCGTACCGAGCCACTCTGCGCTCTGACGCTGCACGTTTCTCCCGCACCGGCTGCGTGCTTGTCCACGCATTTTCCAGGCGCGGAGTCATTCTTGAACACGCAGTCAGGTGTCGCGCTTCTATCACGCTACTCCCTCCTCCTTCTTCTCCTTCTCTTCCTCCTCCTAACGTTCACGTCGGCACAGGCGTCGACGCTTTTTTTTTTTGCTTGTGGCTGTAACGTATAGAGACGGATGACGCCGTGCGTAAACTAGAGAGTGTGTGTGTGTGTGTTTGTTCATCTGTGTGTGGGCGTGGAGGGAAATGTCAACGCGCGGTAGAGGGCGGAGAAGAAGCCTGAGTGTGTGTGGCTCCTGGTAGCAGTGGAAAATACAGCTCCTGCAGCTGCAGCTCAGGGTAAAGTTGTGCTCATTCGCTGTTCGTCCAAGTCCGCCCGTGCCTGCGCCCCTTCTGCCCCGCCTGGAGGCGGTGACGCTCAGTCTCCATCCTTCTCGATCCTGGATGTTGTGAAGCAGCGACGATTTTCACGTCCGGACGCAGCGGAGCTTCATTTCTGGTAAGTTGTTTTTTGCAGCGCTGCACAACTTCTGGGGTGATGGTTGGCCGGACAGACATGGAACATGTCAGGTCCATGCGTATTTGCGCAGTGACCGGATAGGGGAAAAAAAGAGGGATAGAAAGGAGAGGGAGATCGATCCGGCTTTATCGTGTCTGGGTTCTTGGTGTGAGAAGAAGCAGCACTCAGCTTCACATCCACCCTGTTGGAGATGACCACCTCTCCCTCCTCCTCCTCGTCGTTCTCCTCCTTCGTCTCTTCTTCATCTTGTAATAAAGGCAGGCTCATTGTCAGTGAACGTAGACCGTTGTAAACAGTGTGTGTATTATCAGCACATGAGACAGTGCAGCCTTAATGCAAGGACATCCGACCTTTGCCAGGCTGTAGGAGAAGAAGGAGGACGCTGCTGCTGCTGCAGCGGCCCCACGCATGTCATGTCGCCCTGGGGTGTGGTTGGCACCACCGGACAGACAGACAGACAGACAGACAGACAGACAGGCTGTCAGCTCATGTCATGCCTTGGTACCAATCTCACATCCACACGTCTAGAAAACGAGCTTTTTTCCCCTCTCCCAGGCTGCACGGTAGCGACTCACATCTGTCATCGCAGCCTCTCTGCTGCTCTGATCAGGCGGCTCAGCAGGCTCGTAAATCAGAGGCAGTGAACAGCCAACATGTGTTGCACACCAACTCCTGTTTGATTGTCACTGTGCTGCAGAAAAGTATGAACCCTGTTCTCGCTGTGTGTTTGATGGATGGCTGTGCTGCAACAGAGCTGTTGAAATAATAATGATGATAATAATGTTGTCAAAGAAGATGAGGTTATGCACCTTCTGTTAATGATACATTTAACCCAACATGGAACTGGGGATAACATGGACAGTCACACAGAGACAGACAACCATCACAGTCATTCATACCTGTAGTCAAATTAGATTGGAAAAACTATTCTGATTCTGCATGCCTGGAAACTGGAATACCTTGGAAATACCTGCACATACTGTACTGTTCAGGAGGAATATGCAAATTCTATACAGAAGGATATTCAGTAAAGGAAGAGGACTGTCAACTCACCACTGAGTAGCCTTCCTTACACTATTTGGCCACTTAATGTCTCAGTCATTATTCAGTGTCCATCATCATGCTGTTGCCTCTCTGCACCAGGCCCACTGGTATTCTAACCAAGGAGGGCAGATAAATCTAGATCTAAGTTTGTGTACAGTAGAAAAGTGGTTGATACAGGTCTTCTACCACATTTGATAGTGGAGTAAAATGTAGAATTTTACAAGTATTTTTCTAAGTTTGTGTACAGTAGAAAAGTGGTGGTGGGGGTCTTTCTGTAGGGACTTTTGCAGATGACATATGTGGAAGTTAATTCATTCTAAGCTTGTAATGTAACTTTTTTTTTTTAGGAAAATAGGAATATGTAATGTAGGGACTTTTGCAGATGACATATGTGGAAGTTAATTCATTCTAAGATTGTTGTAATGTAACTTTTTTTTAGGAAAATAGGAATATGTAAAATGCTGAAGTCGGCTGCAGGTACATTTGTATCTGCTGAGCTTATAAAACCATTACTAACAATGGCTGCAGCAAATGAAGAAGTGATGGAGTTGTACAGATTGATCCAGTCTAATTGTTCTTTGCATACAATGTCATTCATGTAATGCAGGAACTGTCGTCGACTCCAACTGACCACGTATGTAAATATTCTCAAAAATCTCAATGTGTGAGTGTAAACCAGAAGTTGAAACAGCAACCAGGAGGCAATAATAACCCCAATGTGTGAGTGTAAACCAGACAGACAGCAGTGTAAACAGCAACCAGGAGGCAATAATAACCAAAGGGATGTGTAGTCGGAGAGCGAGACAGACACGGAGGCGAGGTGATTCACATTACTGACAGCACTACTGAATTATGTCTATATGGGAAGAGAGAGGCAGCTATCACTGCTGACGTGCACATACAGTACAGAAGTGCACTCATGCATGCAAAAGCATCCCTACAGGTAGATGTACAACACATACGCTCTGTGATATCACTACGTGCATATCTAATCTCTGAGTGGAAAAAAAAGCATGTCTGAGTCGTGGAATGCATAACAGAAGTAGAAAGAGAACCAGGAAAAGGATCTACAGCAGAGCTATGATGTCGGCCTTTGTGGGTTGACTAGCCATTTGGGTCAGTGACTTCCAGTCATTTTCCCGCCCTGGCAAATTTTAGGTCATATACTTCACTAATGTTGCACTTGGCTGGGGTTACTCAGCCGCTGAGTGTGTCCCCAGTGGACTGTATTTGTGTGTGTAAGGATTTGCAAAGAGCTGCCAAACATGTTCACTCTGCTGCTCTGAGAAGGTGAGTTTTGTATGTGAACACTATGAACATGATATCTCTGTCTGTCCACGCCCTTACTGCTAATTTCTAACCTGGACAGAGAGGTGTGGAGCCTTTGTTCAAACTTCCACAGGCTGCTCTTTTATCCATTTATTGTGCCTGGGTATCTAGTAAATGATTGATACCCTCTGTACGTGTGTGTGTGTGTGTGTGTGTGTGTTCCCTTCAGCCTTGAGGAGGTCCCTTTGTTAGTGTATGATAGGTTTGGTATCAGGCAACCACAACGTTTGTGTTGAATTTACAGCCCATTCACTTTTGTAAATGTGTAGTAATTCTGAGGAATAAATCCTGGGAAAAACATTAAGTGTTTCCTAAGTATTTGATCAATCACAGTGTCAGTGAAACAGTGGCCTACAACAGACTCCCTGATTATCACAGCTTAGTGTATTATGTTGTGTCATTTATTTACACGGACATAGACAGCTGAATATCAGTCAATAAGTTTTTCATAAAAGATAAATGAAGTCAATCCCTTTCTAGATCCCACCCAGCAGTCACTGGGTGAGGGCGGGGCACATCCTGAACCGTTGGCCGTCCATTGGCCTCGTATAGAAAAAACAACCATACACACTTGTACAAGCACCTAATCACAACTTAGAGACTCAGTTTAACCTCATCCTACTTGTTTTTTAACTGTGGAAGGGAACTGACTCAGTCATGAGGGACTT